TTTTGATATGAAGACTTGGAAAGTTGACATTAATTGAATTGTTTATCTTATAAACACGTCATTCCAACAAAAAACATGCACAGTACAAGATTAATATTGTACATTTAATGGTTAATATATAAAAAAATTGCGAACACTTGTGAATTATTACTCTTATCTAATAATAAATAAATAAATATTTTAGGACACATTTTTTACACAACATTCTCTAGTCCAAACTAAGCAAAGCTTGTACTATGTGTACTAGAAAACTGATAAACATACTTAAACATACTTTGCTTTTGTAAATAAATACATATTATACATATATTAACACCCAGACACTAGAAAAATACTATATTCATCAAACAATATTTATCCAGTAGTGGGGATCGAACCCACACCCTCTGGCGCAGGAGGCAGGTGCACTACCCACAACGCCATTCGGGTCGTCGTCATCTCTTATAATATTTTTTTTTTCAAGACGCACCCAGAATCAAAATGACAATCATGTTGTCAATGGGTATGGCTAGATTTTTTGTGACTAGATTTAGGCTAGAAAAAAACACCATGTTCATCACACAATATTTTTCAAATAGTGGGGATTGAACCAACACCCTCTGGCACAAGACGAAGGTTCACCACTCCCCATTACAATCGGGTCGCCATTTTTTATACCTAGTTAGGTTTGTTTGAAAAAAATTAAGATCTTAATAAATTAATATTTTTCGTAATATTATCATTTGTCTAATTATTTTATTCTAAATTAATTATCTGTAATACTTATGTAAAACAAACAACAAAGTATGTTTCCATCGGATATAATTAAAACAATACTCAGAATTTCAGAACTAACATCTTCGGGACTCATCCCTCGTTGCATTATAACCCCAAGTGCCCACTAACGTCGTTTTGATTGTTGAAACGTGAAGGAAGTAGAAAGAGGCACAAAAGAGAATCCGGTTATGCTCACCGCCCGCTCGCAGTTGACCTAACCTAAAAGCTCTCCGGCGTAACAAAGAGGAGCAAGTGCCCTCGCAGCGCTCGGAGCGCCCCAGAATTAAGTGCATTCACTTTTGCAACAAGAGATGGGAATACTAAACCGCTTCATTGCAGCAATAACTTTCCCCTGGCTGTCACAAAACAACTTCATACGCACGTTTCGTCGTCATTTACCATAAAACTGCATCTTAAATTCAACTCTATGTATTTAAATAGAATACCTTATACTATTATTAATAATAATTCACAATCTTTTAAGAATAACTGTGACTATAAGCTTCCACCATTTAAAAGGATTACTGATTGACGAACTTCAAACGTCCCAAGACGATTTTACAATGCTCAGGAATATTAATTTGCTCATTATGTGCTCTTTTAATTCTGTTTTCTCGTTTCCTCTATCGGATAACAATTTCTATATAACCATTTTCAAACAGTTTAATTATTTCTCTTTGAGGATAGGGCATAGCATATCATAAGATTATTGATTTTTTTTTATTAAGTTACCTAAAATTAACCAAATTCTTAGCATTAATATTTAAAATATCAATAAATCTTAATGATAATATAATATTAAATCCTCTCACGTACATTGTAAGTTCTATGGTCAAATGTTTTACAGTATTTTATGCTAAGTGGCCTCGGACCGTGAAAAAAGTAGGTTACGGACTATTATTAGTATACACGAGGAGATAATAAGAGATTACGCCATAAAGGATAATGGCACCGTTAGCAGAATGCCCGTCTACCTGCAGTTAATGTTAATGAAGATAATTCACCTCAATCTGCATAATGCGATGACCTAGCGCCGCCGAGGGAAACTTACGTCTGCGACGACGGTCTTCTCTCGCGTAAAAAAACAGATGACAGTTTGTGAAATAGGTTTTTTGCTGATGCTCCAGGAACTGAGAACGGGCCTTCTATTGAATACAGTAAAATAATTACAGGATGATTCAATATTTTTTAAGGTGGTCTGTATTGAATATTTTAAATGATAGTGTCGAATAACGGTATGATGCAAAATGTTTATTTGAAAAATTTTACTTCTTATCATATTTTAAAAGAAGCTATAATAATAATCTTTATTTTTAGTGACTGTATCCAAATGAGTTGTTTAAAGACACATAATATTATGTAAAAGTACTTGTAACATAAATGTAGTAAATACTTTTCCGCTTCGCTTTAAACCGCTTCCTCGGACTGAAATAGTTTCAAAATAACTTTAAAATAAACCAGGAAAATCTGATTTACTATTTTTATATGCGATGCGAGTAGACAATGAACAATGATGATCGTTATAGACAGAATATTTTAAATGTGTCGGAAAATAAGTATTTGCTTACCAAGTGGTTACAGGAAATTGATTATATCTAAATGTTTTCACTGAATTTCGAATTACTGCTAATCAACTGAATTACTATACCTATATATCGGGATATTCATCGACAAGATAGTTGCTTTTTATTGTGTATTCAGTATTATTCGACTCGGATAAAGTTCTGGGTGTCATAAATGAAAATAAATTATCTGTTCCCTTTCTATCTTTGTTATGGATTAAACATAAAAACATGTTACTAGTTTTTTATTTACTCATAAAACGTGTAAAAATATTCAAAGTCAAAATATTTTTATTCATATTAATTATGTTTATTTGTTTTCAGGGCTAAAACACTGAATCCACTTGAACGATTTATTATTTGCATAGTTAAACATATAGGAGCGTAAAAGGTCATGAGAGTTGAAGATTCAGAACCCTTTATATATTTATGTATTATTTCAAAGTAGATAGTTAAGGACTTACAACAGTTGCGTTTGCCTGCTACATAATTGTAAAAGTTAGTTATCATAAATAATTTATAGTGTTTTTTAATGTAATAGGTGAGCAGGCGTTTCACCTGATGTTAGGGGATAAGCCACCCATGGACATTTGCAACACCCTTAGGGTCGCAGATGTGTTGCCACCTTTTAATAAAGTGGGCTCCGGCTACTTCACGCACCAGACGAATCGCAGGTCGTGATTGCCCATGCGTGCAGCAGTGAAGGCTTAATTTCTTTTAACAGGCAAACAGCATGAAAGCCGATTAATTGTTATCACTATTCCGAGTTGTTGAATAGGGCCTAGTATATTTTCTATTCTGTAATAATTTTTATGGTCAATGTGAACATGTTTGATGCCCAAAAGTAATATTGAGTCAGTGACGTATAAATAAGATAAACATCAAAGCAGACAGACTTCCTGTAACTTCCTCCTGGGGCGAACGGCAGAACTAATGAATAATGCAAAGCTCATTTTATTGGCGGAGCTCCATCAATATGATAATAACGAAGTAACTTGGAGGGTAGTCGATGCCCTGTACACGGGAAGTATTATGTTTTTAATAAAGGAATTGTGATGTACTTTCAATCTTCATCAGCAGAAACTCGTAACTTCATTGTAAAAACAAAAAAGGTCCTTTGCATTTTGAAACCGTAATGCGCACTTGACGCATTTTGTTTTTATGAATATACATTTTCGTTCCGTCTGCTTCTTATTCCTCGGGGAGCTTTTCCTCGTGTAATTTGAAATGAATGTGATGTTTAACGAAGTCTTTTGCATTGTAAATGCGGGCGGCTGTTGGAGTGTGGCGGTTGTAAAAAAGCAGAATTATTTATAAAGTGCGGTGCCCTAATGAGGCTGTTGCCTAAGATTCGTTGCCGAAGATATCAGATTCACCGCGGCACTGCGAATTGTGCTATAATTGAGCTGCAAGACTTGTTCGCCTTTTAATCTATTTGGGAATTCACTTAAATTTTACATAGATATATAGAATCTGATAAGAATGAACGCTTCACTAAAATGTGTGTATTCTAAGTGTCTTTCATAAAAAATGAGAAAAGGCTAGTCGTAAGGGTATAATAGTTAGCTAAATAATAGTCCATATTTCAACAAAAGTTAAAAAATGGTATTCACCTAACTTCGGCCACCAACCGTGATAGCTCAGTGCCCGGTGCCGGCACCAATCAAATTGTTTAAGTGCAATTTTAAATGCTGCTTCATCACGAGTTGAATGGCGAGAAGGAACAAATCGTGAACCTGCATGTTTTCGAAATAATAAGAATTAACGTTTTGAAGATGTTTGAAGTCTCAAAATCCACGGTGAGGTCATGCGGTGGATTATTCCCTAATGCCCTCTATTTAGAGGAGGCCATTACATAACAGTGGGACATGTACAGGCTGTTATTTTCCTTTTTTTAATTTACTTACTTTTAGTATTGGTTGAATAACAATTTATAGTTTCAGAAGTTATGGTAAATAACTAGTCAATGAATTAATATAATAAATATTCAAATTGCAAATGAATGTGTTTCAATTATTGTTCACAGGCTTCCTTCCCTCTTTCTTCGCGGCGCGTAGCAGCTCACAACGCTCACCCTCTCTTGAAGATGATGCTGCAGAACTCTTTCGCGATGCCCCACTATATCCCCCACTCCGTGAAGACGTTACCCAACATGAATACTCGGAACTTACCGAACAAACCAATCTCGCATACGATACTGAATCTAGCATCGAAGAGAGCAATGTTCCTGTATCGTCTGATGTATCTAATTTGAATCTACATAATGATATAACAAAATCCATTGATGATGTCGTAAGAGAACAAAATAGTTTAGACGATTATGCCGATATTAATGATGAACTATCTTTCTATAAACATTATAAGTCTGACAAAAATTTCTTGAAGCCTTCCTTTTTAAAATTCCAAGACACAGCCAATGACATTTTTGAAACTTCTAGAGATTCCGATGAAAATTCTGAAGACATTAGTCTTTTCACTAAATCCAAAGAGAGCACATATAGGATTACTAGAGAAACAAAAGAGAATAATCAAAAAGAATTTATGGATCAAATTGAGTTTTCTGATGAAATAGATGAAGGCTTTGCCAAAAATGTTAATATCATTGGTCTATCTAAAAAGGTTAAAAGTAATATATTAGTGGCAGCTGAAACTACTGATGACGTTTCAGAAAATACTATTTTAATGACTTCTGACAAGGGATCTGACGGTGAATCTGGTATTTTATTGGCTCCTGATGTAGGTAAGGATACAAAAGCTTCTTTGTTTATGAGTCCCGAAGAAAGTATTGTGGATGATGAAGATATTACGTTTTTAAAATCACACAGTTCCGATCAAATTGTTAAAAAAGAAAGCCAAAACAATGATTATCCAAAAGAATCAAATGAAAGCCCAAAATCTGGCGAAGAAAGGGTGAAACGTAGTCAAGACTGGGAAAAACCAACAAAGGTAATAACAGTCTAGTAAAATAATGTTTTAGTTTTAAAGACAAAAAATTTTAATATGTGGCTGATAATAACTGAATCTTGAATTCCATTAATAATTATAATTCGATGTTGTTTCATGTAAATAATTTGTAAGTGAGCGGGCACTTAATGTTAACTGATTACGTCTGTCCACGTCCACGGGCAGGGTCCTACGGGCTTACAGATTCTTCGCCTACCTTTATAAAACGTGGACCCCGATTACCTCACTCACTAGAAGAAACGCAAATAAGTGTAAAACTTATATTTCAGGCTTGTTCTTCTACGAGGACCTCACACTTCACAGGAAGAGCCTGGCTGATGCTGTTTCGTGGCTCTGCAACGGTTAAAATTTAACACACCTAAATATACACTTCGATGTTATAATTTATTAATTGGATAATAATAAATTTAGAATTATATGAATTGAAATTAATCGTGGAATTCTTTCACAGGCAGCTTCACGTCGGGTTAAAACCGGCGACACTATTCTCAACATTCGGGGCTCTATACGCGACGCCATCGGTGATGCCGGGGCCGCACCGGGGCCGCGTCCTTCCACTCGGCTGGACGCCTTCGTCATACGACCGGCACCGGGGCCCCGAAGACCCATGTGGGACGAGCCACAGGCGGACTCTGCGCAGGCGGACACCAAGCCAGTCACTTCGCAGGTTCGGTTTGATTCTTCCATTAAACCGAAGGCAAACCGGTTTAAGGACAAAGCTGTAATGAAACCGTTAATGAGGAAATAGGTGATTGTGAAATAAAATACATGAGAATTTTGAATTTATTGATTGAAAAAGTATTTTTTTTATTTAGAAGCACGAACGTGAACTGCTGGTAGCTGCACACTCGTACGTGCGCATTCCATGTGATCTCATCAACATCACAAATCTGCGGTGGTATAAGGATAACGAGGTGAGTGGTTTTTAAATAATTACTAGTACGAAATAATCACTAGTGCCTGGATGCCACGAAGTTATAATTTCTCAAAGGCGATGATAGACATTATAGTGAAGCAGCATTTTGGTGCTAAAGAATTAACAAATAGGAAAATATTAACCTTCGACATTGAATTCTTGAAATAGCGGGTGAAGGTTTTTACTTACGGCATGTCTTACTACAACTGTTCATTCCTTACCGAGGTATAGTTATAGATTCTATATCTGAATCGATGTAAATTTACAGAAAACCTACGTGATATACATGAAGTATTTACATATTAAATAAAATAATCTTTAGAAGGGCCACATCCGCACAGAAAATCAGCGTGAAGTAGATGTGTTACATTTAGGTACGCGATTCATCTGGTGAGCATCTGCAATTCCTCAGCAGTCCGTAAGCGGCGGTAATCACTTGACATCAGTTGATCCCGCATGTTTGTATGCAAACTTTTCACAAAAAAATCTCGTTCGTCCGCTCAATGATGCTGCCGGAGGTTTAACGTTTCCAACGTCAACTATGTCCCACGATCGCTTCTAGTAAACTACTTTAACCCAATTTTCAAAAGGTTGTCAACGCATCGGTAGTAGCAGATGTCCATGGGCGGCGGTGTTCACTTAACAGCATGTGAATCGCATGCTCGCTTGGCAACTGTTAATGTGTGTAAAAAAATAAAGTTTCTTGGCTGCCTCCTAAATTAAAGCGACTCCGTCGTAGGCGGCAGTATTGTCATCGACCCTGCCGGCAGCAGAGGGCACTGGCGCTGATGGTGCCCTCCACATAGCCCGCGTGGCGCGGCCCCACTCGGCCCGCTGGCGCTGCGCAGGAATCGACAGCAAGGGGAAGGCGCGCGCCGGACGCCCCACGCGGCTGCTCGTGCACGGTACCTGTACTTGTTCAGATCTGACTCCGCATACCTTGCTCTTCGCTTTGCATCAGGGAATTTATCATAAAGAGTTCTTCTTTGACTTGTTCACTGTCTGACTCCCCATACTAAGAAATGTTGTATGCAATATAAATACTCACAATAAAATGAAAATAACGCGTGCTACATTTACTTCAGTACTTGTTCAAGTTAATTTTAATAAAGCAATTAAAGATACGATAATTCGAATAGGTAAGACAAAATTGTCTTAAAAGAGGTTTATGTACGGTATTGATTAACCAGTTAGTGACAATGTCCTGATACCCTCTATATAGACGAGGCTTTTGCCCAGCAGTGGAATATGTAATGCCTGATACTTTACTTTTAGTGTTTACTTTAACGCTTGCTGTATACTTACAAATAGCATTCCGTTGCAGAATGTTGTAGAATGTTGTAAAAAACTTTTAAAGGGATTCATTACTTTATATGTTAAATTTTTATAAGTAGATAATAGAAATAGATCAATGAAAGGGTACTAATGACCTTTATATGAATAGAGCCAGTCCGTTCGGTATACCTCGCAGTGGACGGCAGGCGTCTAGACGCTGGCAACACCTGGGTGCCTGTACGTGACAAGACCGTGCTTGAAGTCCGCTGCTTCGCCGAAGGTATGAAGTCTTTTAACTTGCTCTGTCGGTAGCCAAGTACTCATAGTCACCTATTTTCGCCAAGTTTCTGTGATTAATTCTGTAGTTGGCTTTTGTTATATGAGGAGTTTGAAGTATTATTTTACAGAAAGCTTTCTAATTCTTTAAAAAGATTAATTAATTGTTCTTATTTATGCGTATTAGACATTTAAATGAACCGAATTTAATCCATTTTATTAAATATCCTCCCGTAGTTTTGCAAAGTGTGCAGTTTTATGGTTAGCTAGAAAATTGATATATTTAATTTTCAAATTTTAAAAATGTCATTTAAAATTCGTAAGTATAAGAATTAATCCTAACATAGCTACCGAATTTTCTTCAAGCTATTTCATTAAAATAATACATGAAAAGATTTCCATAATAAGCAAGTTATTTTTGGAACAGAACTTTGTTTATGTTAGACTAGAGAAGATTCTTAGGACTGATTGCCATTTTGTTAATTAACTGTTAACTGAATTTTAAAAACGTACTTAGGAATATGTTTCTCTGTTTGATGTTTATAAATATTTATAATTAAGGGCACTTCTATAATTAGAAGCTTATAAATGTTCAAAATGATGCTTTTAATAGTAATCGTTTAATTAACATTTTCCATTACTCGTAATACTCAATGAGAGAGAGACACAAATAATTTTTCATCCAACTAGGAGGCGTCCCTCCGCCAGACCTTTCATGGCGTCTACTAGCATTCGAGTCGGCCCTAGACCATCGACCATACTTGCGTGTCTACCAGAGCAACTACTCTATAGGTTTGTGTTACTGAATTCATTAAAAATGTATTCCATACATTATTAAAAAATCACGAAAAGCCTTTTCTATAGTTTATTTTGTGATCAAGCATACGTCCTTCATATTCCACGAGCAATTTTGATTGTATTCTATGATGTCGTCAGTCCCCCATGCACGTGACAGTCTTCGCTGTTGCACGAATGGGCAGGTCCGTCCAAGGGTAGTACCACGAACTCATAGAAGAGCGTCGTGAAATAGAATAGTAATACTTCTACATTTCGTCTGGTGAGTGAGGTAACCGGGGCCTACTTTATTAAAAGGTGGCACCGCATCTGCAACCCCACCAGTGTTTTAGGGGTCCATGGGCGGCGGTTATATCAGGGGAACTGCCAGCTCGCTTACCATCAATACATAGTATAAAACAACGTCCACCCGCTGTCTGTCTGTCCCTATGTATGCTAGATCTTTAAAACTACGCAATGGATCTTTGTGTTTTTTTTTTACTACATAGAGTGATTCAAGGGGAAGGTTTATACATTGTACCCTTGCGAAGCCGGGGCGGGTCCTAGCGACCTCTTACATAAATTATAATTGAATAAATACAATTGGTTTTGTCATTTTAATCCTTTTTTGTATATGTCAACTCCCATTGTGTCCAGCTCACTTCTATACTTAGGAATACATTATATCGAAGTCATTGTGAGAACACTATACATACTTTACTAGTACACTTTGAATGGTCGAAGTGATCCCTTGCACCTTTGAGCAGAGGGCGTGCGCTGGTCGCGCGTGGTGGTGACTGCCGCGCGGGAGTTGCACAACGCGACCCTCCGCTGCACCGCTTCCCAGCGGCGCCCCCCTCCCCCCGTCACAGGCCCCGGCGACGCCCCATCCACCGCGTCCCCGATCCAACACGACGAGTCCACCGCCAAGCTCGAGATACACGTCACCTGTGAGTGCTTACGCCGCAATTGGACACACTAAAACACGCACGTTTTCAGAGTCACGTTCTACGTCCTTAAAATTCTGGCGAGCTAGTACAAGTCTTAATAATTATTGCGAAGAACACGATACAGACGCGTTTATTACGAGTGTAATTAACTTTTATATTCTGTTTATCTAATATTAAACGTTTTAATGCGCATTGCTATTTAAGTACGCACTGTCTTTGTTTTGTATCTAATCATTTATTAGGGAATGTACGTATGGACGGACGGCTACAGAGTTCAAGATAACTTTTGGATTGATTAAAAATTATATTAATTGCTAGCACAGGAGTGTGAACTTAAGGACTCTTTTCGTACAGACAACAGTGGCAAGCAATTATTCCAAATTCCCATCGCATTGGCCATCGCAGTATAGGACGACCCCCTACTAGATGGAGTTACGCCCTGTGCGAGTCGATGGATGCAGGTGGCTCAGGATCGTACTTCGTGGCAGTCGTGGGGAAGGCCAATGTTCAGCAGTGGCTCTTACAGGGTGAAATGATGATGATGATTGTTGTGACTTAAGTCAACATTTTCGAGCAACAAAGTTGAAATCCTGGTGCACCAATGTAACGAAATCTTAGTGAGTTTTAATTTTACTTAACAAAGCGCGATTGCATATTAGATCCGCCCTCGTTCGTGATCTCCCGCTGGCCCGGGTTCGGCATCTCTCTGCGCGCTGGCTTCGCGGCGGCGTTGCGCTGCGATGTCGACGCCAACCCGCCCGCGCGCGCCTTCTGGCTCAGGGACGAGGACCGCCCGGCGAGGTATGAATGAATGAACGAAGGAGTGAATGAATACTTTATCTCCCACCACATAAAAGGATACACAAAATTTACAATAGTGAAACAAATTTATGGAATATACAATTAGGCGGCCTTATTGCTTCATAGCGATCTCTTCCAGGCATCCAATGACATAAATGAACATTTACTATGTAGGTTGTATAATGTAACACACATGATGTGTGACTAAATCAAGACGAGGTATTGCACTGTCGACACCGGCCGCTTTGTCTTCAATGTTACTTGTAACGTGTTGTATGCTGTAAAGGATGCACACTAGATGGCGCCGAGCATTGCTAAAATGCAATATAACGAACGTAGATAGATGAGGTTTTTACGCCGTGAGGTCATCGGCCGCTCAGCTTAGTTGGTGTGGCGTCTAAGCGCGAAACCGGAAGTCGCAGGTTCTCTCTCTATAAAAATTTACAATTTAAAATCACAACAATGTTCAAAGCCACGTTTTACAATCTTAACTTTAACAACGATCATTGATTTCATTGGCCTTACCTTTCATTTTGTGAGTAATATACAAGAGGAATCTATAAATTGCTGGATGGCGCAGCAAATTGCTTTCCCGGGAGGCGTGTTAGCACATCAATGTAGCGTAGTCGTGACGGAACTCGCGTTCCCGCCAGCAGTTCCCCGGACCCCTTGGAGGCGGCCGGGCCCGAGGCGCGCGGCTCGGCCACTCTGCAGTGGGACACGCTGCGGGAGAGCCACGCCGGCTGGTACCGTTGCAGGGCCTCGTGGCTGGACGACGAATACTCCTCCATTGGCTATTACCTAAACGTGCTATGTGAGTCGAAATGCGATACATTGGACATGTACAACACCTGAAGGGTTGCATATGCATTGACAATCTTCTTCGTTCTATTCTATAAGGCCTTGGTACTATCTAGGACGAGCATGCCTTATTACATACAGTAAATAATTTCCGAACAGAAATTTACAGGACGTTAATAGCCAATATTGTCCTCGTTTCCCTAAACTTATTTAGCCTCAAAGTGTATCCCGGCTATATTTGTGAGGCAGAGATAAATGCGTCCCAATCACACAATTTAAAGGACCGAAATTTATTGCATGTAATATTTGAATTCCCACCGTCTTATGCTCACCAGAATCTAACGAAAATAAAAATTACAGTTTTTAAGACGAATAAGAAGCCTATGTAAGACTCGTACAAGCAGCTACAAAAACAAAATTGGTTGTGTATAATGTAGTTAAATTTTAAATAAAATAAGCATTAATGCCGAAAGTTATTGACGAGTTAATATTGACTAAAATACTTTAAATATATAAAAAAGAACAAACGATCTCTCGTACTAGCCTCGGAAGAATCACAATTGGAGAACGAAGACGACTCTGAGGAGCCAGAACATCAAAAAGTGGACGTACCTCTCGGAGGCAACGTGCAACTTCACTGTCCAAAAGGTAGGCGATGTCTTCTCTTTATACACACTCGTATGGTTAAACTTTTTCAGGCGCGGTATGAAAAAATGATGAGAGTGAAATTTTAATAAGCGCCTCAATCACTGTAACACAAAAGTCACACCTTTATAGGTGCCCGCTAAACCGCTTATTATAGATAGCAGCATAGTCGCCTGTTACAGTTCTCAATAAATAATGTAGATGGCGCTTTCATAATTTAATTATTTTTATTATTTATATCCTTTTCCAATCTTTTCATTATTACTAAAAACTATTTTAAATGATGCCAAAGAAGTATAACTTTTCACGCACGTATAAGTATACGCACCCATTTTTTATTATATATAAATAAAAAATGGGTATATTGCAAACTTGGGTCTACATTCACCTCTTAACAGATTAATGACTACATACAACGCATTACATAATTCTAGTGTTAATGAGTCCCCTAAAAAAACTGATGAACTTATAAATGTTGTGAGAACCAGTAATAACGCGCTTCATATTGATATTTTTTGAAACAAATATTTTAAATTCAAAAAATATGTACGTGAAGCCCTTAATTCATTTAACTTTTTATGTTTGTTTATGTTTACGTTTATTTTTTCTTCTTTTGATCTTTTTTTTTTTTTAAATTCTTGATTACTTTTTTGGATTTACTTTTTTTTTGTTAACATTGATGCTGCAAATTTCATTGTACTCACTATTCGCTGAGTTTTTATCTTTTATTTAGTGTTGTTTTTTTTTCGCACAGATAGTTTTAAGTTCTTGTGTTGTTAAATGTAAAGCATAGTGGTTTGCACCTATAATTGTGATGGCACTCACCAAGCTTGTTGTTAATAACATTACCTATAAATTGTCTAAATTTAGTGTTCATCTTGTTGGTGTAACAAAAATAAATAAATAAATAAATAAAATAAAAAAATAAATTATACTAGCTGGTGATCGCGACTACGTCTGCGTAGTAAAGGCTGAAGGCGTAACATTTAGACAAAAGGACAGATATAGTATTTCTTTTCACACGTTTGGAAAAATTATGAGAGTTAAATTATTATTACGACTTCCGCCTTTATACGCATCCGGAATCATTTTCCCACGAAAAAATTAAACGTGATGCTCTGTATTACCAATATAAACTTGGAAAAAATTATGAGAGTTAAATTATTACGATCCGCGCACGCATCCGGCCCACGAAAAGCAACGTGATGCTCTGTAACCAATATAAACTTGGCAACTAATAACAATTTATTGAAATTTCCTATAATTTCAAGTGATTAAAATAAACCATTATCAATTGCATTTAATGTCTTTACGCTAAATAAGTATAACTTCTTAATTGCCTACATAAGTACACACATACTTTTCTTTGATTATATTCTTGCCATTATAAATTCAGAATTAAATGAAACACCATAAATGTATTAAAACAATGTACGATTATTTTACAATCAACAATTTACGTTGTATTTTTTCAACATACCCACTTGTTTTTTTAATGAAAACTATTTTATTATGAAAAATCAAAGAAAAAATCACAAGTCTTCCTTGTAAACTTACAGCTACGTATTTGGTAAGTTTGGCGCCTTGTTAGAGTGAGTCGGTTACAGGCAGCGTCGGGTGTTGGTGGAGACGGGTGTTGGGCAACGCGAGCGAGGCGTGGGCGCCGGCGGGCTCACATCACGCTCACGGCGTTCTGGGTAAGTTGCTATTTTCGTAAAAAATCGGAATTCATAATAGAAAATATTCTTTATTGCACACCAAAATAAAATATGCAAGAACCAAAACTTAATGTTTAGATGATGGGTACAATGGGCGGCCTTATTGTTAAAAGTAATTTCTTCTAGGCAACCTATGGATGGATTGGAATAAAATAAATATTCAGGTTAATTACAGTTTTATAAGCAGATTCAGGACTCAGTGATATTATGGTCTGATAGTCGACCTTTTTAAGAAGTAAATAATATAAAAAGTAAAAAGAATGGAAATGTTATAATTCATCAAAATTTGATAGGTGAATAATAAAAGCTAAAAGATTCAAAGTCAGGGATATTCTAGTCATCCTAGAAACAGAGATAGAAGTAACAAAGTAGTAGAAGTCACACTTTTCCGCAGTCTCTAGAGCAATTTGAATTTAAATCTCGTCGTCCGCAAATAATCTGTTCTTTGTAGTTTTATGTGTTGACTTTTTCTTAAATAGTATCTGCTGCTAGTTATACCAAGTCCAATATAGTTAGCCTGATCGACTAGGTCATACAAATCGCATGTCTTCGGTTGGCGGTATTCACCTGCGAATAAATTAACTACTTGTTCGTTTGCTATTATCTATTATAATAAAGGGCGTGTGAATTATGTTGTCGAATTGGACGCAGGAATACGCGGCGCATTGTACCAGGAAGCTGGAGAGTACCGCTGCGTCGGTACCCGAGGCAACGACTTGCAACGCCTCAGAGATCTCAAGCGTGTTACACTGCGAGTTACAGGTTCTAAGAACTAAGATTTATGTAGTTAAATAATCCATACTTGTTTTATTTAGTTAATTGACTGTTCAATTCAAAGTTGACGCAATTTAAAACATATTTTCGAGTTAACAAATGGGCGGGTAAGCATTTTTTTAGGGTTCCGTACCCAAAACGTATTGTGGAATTATTAAACTACTGTTGCAGATCATTTTTAAAAGAATTTTCATATCATCATGACTTAGGCATTATGAACTCCGAATAGAGAAACTTCTCGCCCGTCTTGAAGGTGAAATAAATAATATTGAACTTAACCAGAAATCTGTATGGTATCACTATGCCAATAAATGAATTACTTAACAATTATAACTTGAAAGTTTGAGAAACAATTAAAAATGAATACCATGTGCCAATGATTTGAATACGGTCGCTTTTTATCTTTGGGTGATTGTTCAGTGAGCGCTCGCTTTTAATTCAATACCCGAGCGACCTGTTTTCGATCCCGGTGCCGGCACCGATGAAAAGACTTATCACGTGCTCAGCGGCGGAGGAGAACATCCTAAGAAAACCTGCATATTTTACTAATAATAACATAAAAATATTTCGAACACATGTCAAATCCAACAATCCGCAGTGGGGCGCGTATTGGACTACGCCCCGATACAGAGGAGGCCTATGTCGAGCAGTGGGACACGTATAAGAAAGGTTCTCGAGTGGCAGCCATCGTAGTGTAGGACAACCCCCGACTAGATGGAGTGACGACCTGTGCAAATGTGCAGGAATGGTGCAGGTACTTCGTGGCAGTCTACGGGGGAGGCCTATGTTCAGCAGTGGACTCAAACAGGCTGGAATGATGATGACGATGATGACACGTATATATGGCAGGCGGCGCCACGGCGACGGCGCTGAGCGCGACGCCGGCGGGCGGCGGCTGGCGGCTGGAGTGCGGCGCGTGCGGGCGGGGCGTGCGCGTGGTGTGGCTGCGCGGCTCGCGCATCACGCCCGCCCACCTCACGGCCGACCTGGCGCAGCACTGCCACCGCGCTGTGCTGCTGGTGCCCGAGCCGGACGAGGTGCGTTGCAAATAGGGTGATTTTTTTTTAATTTCTCGCGAACCATTCTTCGGAAGAATCGGTGTTCACACGATAGACCTATCGAACCTAATATTATGTGGTTGGGGCTATTTAGAGTGTGGTCACATACTGCACATCTCACAAGTCTCTGTAATAGAGAAGATGCGCTATAAAAGGTTCGAAACTTCGGGAAATAAGGATATTTTTTACATCAAAAGATGACTGGTGCCTAATTATTATTCCTAATTCTAAAGGAGCTTTTGATGATAATTTAATTTTTTATTTTACTTTATTTGTTATGAAAAAAATTAAATCTAGAGCAGTTTTTAAATAATCAATTTGTACAAGAATATGTCTAATTAAAAATTTCCTCAACTATTTAAATAAAAGTCAGACACGTTCAACTTTTGTAGCGACAAACGATATTGTTGTTAAGCTTTGTTGTTCAGTTGCGATTGTGGATTGATGCAGGTGTGGTGCGCGGCGGTGACCGGCAACGGTGGCGCTGTGGCGGTGTTCCCCCCCCGCGGCTCCCCCGCACCCGCCCGCCACGCCGGAAGGGCCTTCTCGAACGCTCCATACCCCAACCGCCGCACATTCCTAACATCATTCTTAATCTCCCTTGCTATTGTCAAAGTCGCCACTGCGGTAGCACCCTCAGTCTTCTAAACGTGTATGTTAGGCCCATTTTGATTTCTCCATTACTATTTGAGAATTAAGTATGCTGTATATATTTTAAATTTGTGTTACACTGTGTAATATGTAATGTAACGCTTGCAAACGACTTACTGTAAGTGATATCAAACATGAAATGGTCGTTCACCAACTCTTTTTGGAAATAATGAATATGAGAAAACATAATATGGACGACTATTTGTTTAAACTAAACAGAGTTATTTTCTTGAGACATATATTGAGATTATTTTTTGAATGACTTTGGCGTTGTAAATTTACATTTCCAAAGATGTGTGTGAATGTGGGCTGAGGGTGGCAACATAATACTCTCTTAAGTAGTGTTTACTTGTAGGCAATATGGTATTGTCAAATGTCTATACTTAACTCTAGTCTTCGTAGTGCTATTGTATCTCTGTTATACGCATAAAATTAGTGGACCTATCTCTTTTGTTACGTGCAACAGATACTTACTGTTCTAATGTAACTTTTCTGTAATGTTTTTGATCATTATTTATCTTAAAGTAGGTGAAAAGTCAGGCTTTTAATCAAGATGACACTTATAATTTAAATTTTGTTGTATTTATCTCCTAATTACTGTATTCTAACTGTTTATTATTTATTAATATTAGCCTTTGCAATTTGTTTCAAAAACAGGTGTTAATGTGCCAAAAAAAGTGTTGTTGTTATATTCATAATAGATTTTTTTTCTTATACTAAAGAACTTGGATGTTTTAAAATATTTTTAAATTTTGTAACTGTGTGCAACGGAAAACACCAAATACGAAAATGAAACTTAGAATTTATTCGATAACAAATATGCATGTGGTATTGTAGAAGCAGAACGCAAGATTCTGATAGATATTATACTTATTAAATATGGTGAATTTGCAAATGGAAGAAACCTTTGTGACCTTGCGTACGGGCATAATACGAGTATATGTTACGTAGGTAAGCATATATATTTTATATAGTCGTGAATCTTAATAAACTTGAATTAATAATACGATATGTATCATAGCTTAAAACGAATCGTGTAAATTTCGATGTCAATTTTAGAAGCTCGTTTAGATCGGGCGGGTTTTGTATGGAACGATTTGCTACCGCAATTTTTGCAACAATTTAGTAGCGTAAGTGTAAGAGATGTATATCAGACGTTTGGTGTTATTGATGTTGGTGTCTACAGTTAGTTCCGTATGTGTTGCGTTTCTTGTTTCCTCTTCCTTGCGTTCACCTCTGTCACCTTTCACCTTTGCCTGTTCTGCTGCAGGATACATAATGTACTGCGTTGTTGTTGTTAAGAATTGTGATATCAGTGGAGGCGCGGGCGCGTCGCGGGCCGATATCTCGAAGATATTTTATTGTTATTACATAAAGTTAAATTTTAAAGAGAAGCCAGTGAAGGATAAAACTAAATTAGGTTAGTACTGAGATGTATTTTTGTACCGTCTCCAGACTTGCGGTCATTTGGCGATAAGTTTTTGGATTCAAAAAGAGGAAAATATTTGAAAGAGAAAGAATTCTTTTCGTATATGTACCTGGACTTGTGGAGAACGTAATGATCCGTCCATCGCGGAATTCGAAGTAGTTAGTTAGAGAGCTACGTAGTACCCTCCCCTACCACCCATTCTCCCAGGATTTACTCTGGATTTGAGCCAAAGTCTTTAATACTTACGACGTTGTCAACTATTCGTGTTAACATATTGTCCTTTCCTTGTCCCAAATTAGACGCAGCTCCGCGGCCCCCGCACCTCTTGTTTACTTGAAACGCGTTAATGGCGTCGCCCACTCAATGCCTGTCAAATAACAACACAATTTTATTCACTTCATACATCATTCGACCGTACTTAATTTGTAGCTTCTACATAAAAAAGCAAAAGTGACGTCACCGATGCTATTGGATCAAGGGAATTTATAGAAGTCACGTTTTAGATGAAATTTATTTTGACAGATATTGGCTGGTCGAGCCCCATGATGGTACAACGAATCCGTTGTATCCAATTCATCGTAGTTAGCGTCCACACAAGATACGTTCAGGTATCGCATTCGGTGCCAATACATTATTTAATAGATTATAATTATCATATATATATTTACATTTTATTATTATACATTTAATGGTTTACTTTGATATTAAGTGTAAAGAGTCCATGTATTCATTGCAATGTGTTTATGGATACTCCTATACCGAATAAATATACGAAATATGAAATATCAAACAGATGTTTTATTTATGTGCTCCTTAGATTCCTTTATCGTAAGTCATTCATGAAATAATTGTGTTATAAGCTAAAAACTGAGTATCTATGTAATTTTTTTTTGGTTGATCATTGTTTATCAAACACTGAATAGTATCTACTATCTACCTTATAAATATATGCTAGCTTTGGAATGAGATAAGCAGATAGTACATATTTGCCTTATTAAGATTCCGGAACAAAGAAAAGGTTTCAAATCTTGCCAGGAAGTCCATCCATACAGTGGTGATATAATCCTGAGTATTTTAACCGATCAAAAGCTGTGATGAGACTCTGATACCGTCAGTAATGATCAACGCCTCACATAGACATCACGACACATGCAAGTTTAAATAAAGGTTAATAGCTTTAAGATGGTTTTGAATCAAAGTTTAACATTTTTAGGCAGAACACTGAGCAGATCTTATTCATGGATTCGAATTGGACAGAAGACTGTTGAGCATAATGCAAAAAAGCTGATCTGTTACTGTGAGCTAAAACTCGATTACGAACTCTAGTCGTTTACATTTGTTGTCTTTCTCTCTAATCTCATAGGCGTTGGATACGCTCAGAGCTCGATTCCCTAGTGTGAATTTGTATATTTATATTATTTTGCTCTTCAAGTCACTGCACACACTCTACTTGACTCTCTCCGACTTGTAAGACGATTTTCAGTTTCCGGTAAAGATTCTTCATTACGACGTATTTTTGATGCCCTCGCTTGGGAACTTTTTCTAGAGAGATGAGATCTTGATGTTTGGGCATTTTAAAATGATGTTGAACAGGAATTACCACTAAAAATGTGATTGAAGAATTATAAGAAGTACTAAGTCAGTCACTAAGCTGTTTGGATAGTTAAATAATTTTAACAATTAACAATATACTAACATTTTTAAACTTGTGATATCTTTCGAATGGAATGTCCGAATTTGATAATTCAAAAAGTTATATAAAGATATTGAAACAGTCTTAAATAAGAAGTAATTTATTTATATAAGGATTAATACCAAGATACAAATGAAGAGCCTTTTCTAGCGGCGGCATTTAAATCAAAATTTTAAAATAAAAGAACACTTATTGTGGCATAACTATAATAGTTAGACATATGCTGTCGCGACACTTTTTGTAAATGATAATGTGTTCTGCAAAGTCGTAGTACATTATTTTATTCTATCATCAATAGTTTTCGCAGCGCACGCGATGTAAAGAATATTTTAGATAATTTTTGTACACCTTGAGTAACATTATTAGAGTTTTAGTAAGGATCCCTAATTTTTTTTAAAATTATAATATAGCCTATATTAAGCAGAGATAATGTAGCTTCTAAACAGTGAAAGAATTTTTAAAATCGGTTCAGTAGTTTCGGAATCTATTCAATACATACAAACAATTAAATCTTTCCTCTTTATATAATAGTATATAGAAATAGTATACATGATTTAAGTCCAAATATTGATTTGAAAAAGAACCGAACATCAAGAAAGAGATGTCTCTTCTATCACAAAGCATACATTTTAGGAATATTCTATATAGCGACCATAAAACGGTTGCTTTTACGCGTCACAAACAATGTATCTTTAATCTGAATTAGACGGGAAAAAGGGTTCATAACGATCGGTTCAATAAAAAAAAAATACCTTAAATCAGATATTTGTTTCAATTTCATTGTTTCAGTTATTAATAATAAGTTAAGTAGAGAAAGTTGAAATCCACGTAAATATTCTAATTTTTTCAACCGACTTAAAAAAGGAGGTTCTCAATTCGTCTGTGTTTTTTTATCTTTGTTACCTCAGAATTTACTACTGAGTTAACTGATTTTGATGATTCTTCTTTTATTTGAAAGCCGGTGCTTCTCATGTAGTCCCATATTAATCTCATTGGTATTGGATCTTGGACTCTGAAGATACTTAGATAACTCCTGAAAATCAATTATAAAATGCAGAGCGAGGTATTTGAAGTCGATTTCATTTTGCGTTAATTTAAAAATGGACTTGTTAACTGTTTAAAGTACTTTATAAAAATAAGTACAGATCTAAGTTCCACGTGTACCGGAGAAAAAACGTGCCTTCTTAGTTTAGACAAATAAATGATTAAGAATAAACACATATTTTCTTGATATAATTCTAACATAGTTGGGGATTGAAATATTTTATAATAATTGATTGTGAACTCCACATTTATTTTGCTTTATTAAATTGAATTAATTACGAGTAGAGCAAGTGCGTTTAATTTTAGTGACTCCTTTCACTTTAAACCAACATTGCACTAATACTAAAACACAATAATAAAACTGCTATATTCACGTAGAACGCGAACCATGCACTCATTAATTTCTCCCTGATGAAGGCCCTCCTATAGGTCTAAAACTAGTCGGTACATACACCGATTGTACGTGAGTTTAGCCGTTATTATTATCTCCCGAAAGTTTTAATAATTCTCTACATATAACGCATGTCAAGGCTTTATAATATGACTACGCAAGCCAATCACACAGTGTCTGAGAAGGGTTTTGATTCATAATAATTATTCATTTATACCAATTAGTTCTGAATAAGCGGGTTGAGTTTATTTCGTGCAAAAAAATTCCCGCCCGGCTTCGCACTGGGGCAATTTATTGTACATATAAACCTTCCTCTTGAATCACTCTATCTAGTAAAAAAACCGCATCAAGATCCGTTGCGTAGTTTTAAAGATCTAAGCATACATAGGGACAGACAGACAGCGGGACGACTTTGTTTTATGCTGTGTAGTGATAAT